GTGTTTTCTATAGTAAATAAAGTTTAAGTTAAAGTAATTAAGAAGACGATGAACAAGACCAGTATTTTGTTTCACACACGAATCAGAAAAACTATTCGCACCGAAATGTGCCGAAGAAAAAGACATTGCCCATTGAGAAAAGGCGAATTAATGAAAAAGTTTGACTATTAAAACTAGAACTTTCTTTTTCTTTCAAATTTTGCATCTTGAATTTTCGCTCCGCCTCAATGTTCAGGTATTTTTTTCATAACTTTTCAACTTTTAAAGTCCCAAACAGACAATAGAAATACAATCACAATATCGGCGAAGTACAAAAAGTGAATCAAACTTAGTATTTGAGGATTCAGACTAATAAAAAAGAGATTACTTTTACCTGATTGAAGGGCGTTTTACTTGCGATTTTTTCTGTCAGATGCTCTCAGTTCGGCGTATTTGTGCCTTTATGTTTAATTCTTCTATTCCGAGCAGCTTGACTGTTTTCAGCTATAAAACCTCTTCTTTTTACTGGTAAACAACTGATTCCAACAGTAAATGCTAAATTTTCTCTCAAGTTTAAAGTTTTTTAAACTCTTGACTCAGTGAATTCAACAAGTTTGTTCATCGAAAATCCGGCTCTTTCGTAAACGAGTCCAATCTACCTTCATTGTAGATGTCCTTTAGATAACTTGTCATTTTGAAAACACTGAAGTTCAGGTCAGAAGTATGTGTTCTTGGGATGCAGCAATATTAACTGTATTTCAGTTTAGGTGGCCGAGAATTGTGGAATAACTTACAGCCTCATCTATATCTGCAATCAACTCCAAAATGATTGAGTCTCAATCGAGCGACCATTGTTTCGATTTAAAAACAAGCTTGAATGATGTTGTCTTAGCTGAGTATTTTTTACATATGCTGCCAATGGATTCCTTCAAAATCCTTTCGGAATTTCTCAAGTAATTCCCCTAACGCATTTTCTCGTCAAATTGAATAAAGTTTGGTTTATCAACTGCATGAAGCTTGCTTTGTCACTGCCGATCTCTTGTGTACCCATGACATCACTACAATCTGACCAATCAGGAATCGCATCCTAAAATAGCTCAGGCTTGCGCGCGGAGCTAAAAATAGATTTTCAAGAAACTTTCATGGGCACAGGGATGTGCTCTCTTACTTCATATTCTCTTGGCGCTGCATTATTTATAAAACATTTTCTTAAATTTATGATACGCGCTGGGTTATACGTTTAAATTTTTTGTATAAGATTGATTGTTGTGTGAGTGATTGATTGAGTGTAAAATATAAACCTTGCATGTTCAAAGTTCAACAAGATTGTTCACCAGTTGTAAAAATTAAATAGACCAATTATTTATTGGCATGGTAAGGAAATTTCAAGAAACATGGGATGAGATTTCTCATTGCGCTTGTGGTTCCACTTGAGTTTTGACATTTTAAGATGCATCTGTTATGGGATAGACCGCTCTCGGTAGAGCTACTCGGGATCTTTATTCCACTTTCTCTCCTTCTCTGACTAAAACTAATTACATGAGCTCTATTTATAATAACTTCATGACAGGTGTCATTCTACAATCAATATGATATTATCGCTGTGCCTTGATTGGCTAATGGAAATAGTAAATTCCTGAGTGCGATATCTTATTAAGAATAATACGAGTGAAAATCATAGAACTAAACATAACTTAAACCAAGGATAATATGTGAATATATGGTAAATGTATAGAAAGGTCTACGAGGAATAATTATATCATAAGATTTAAAAGAATAGTGGTAAAATAACTAAGCAAAGGGGTAAAGAGTGTTTAGGGTGTAACCATAGGTGTACATGCTAATGGGAGGAGCTAAGTAGTTTACTTGTAAATTCAAAGCATACCATCATCTAAACTCGTGCGTGATGGCAGCCTTACTGAAATCTTATATCGATATTTTCAATAACTAATTGATCGTTCTTTATCTTGTTTTCATACGATAAGAAATAGTAATTAGAAATCTGATGTCCAGCTTAGTCTGTAAAAACATTAATTTTCTCTCTCATAACACATCTATGATATATCAATGAGAAGACAGTCAATGGAAATCTATGAGCGATTTGAAACGAAGCCCGACCTGTCGGGTACTAGAGATTTGACAAATGATAAATTTCTGGTCATTAGTGGTCATTAATTAAAAAATTCCCGATGGGTACCTTTGGAATTGACTGATACATATGCGTAATAAAATATAAATTTGAACATATCGTTTCGTATGCTTTTTATGTTTATTTAGCGTAAATTCTGACGAAATGGGAGTGCTTTAGAGGAATTCAATGTGGACTGTCCAGGTGATGTCATTAGAAGTTCAGTAGCAACCATGGAAACTCAAGACTCGAAAAAGTTTTTCTTGTATGACAATCTTATGGTAGAAACTATCCGTCAACTTAAAGCTTATATCGCAGATGGAAAGGGCACTCTAGATGAGCTTAAAGATCGTTTTCGTACATCTCTCTCTGAACTCACTGAAAATGAACTAGAAGAAATCGATAATGTAAAAAAGTTTGTAGAAGCATTGGAAGAAAAAGGTGTTATCGGAGCAAACAATGTGAAGTTATTAAAAGATTTAGCTAAGAGGATTGGATTAGAAGAACTGGAGCAAAAAGTTGGGGAGTACGAAGATGATTGTGCAGGTAATGTATTAGGAGAAGTTCAGTCAAGAAGCATATTAAGTAACCATCCATTTATCTTATTCATAGAATTTGTTTATCAAAACACCTTTAACCTAAATAGTTTTATAAGCTAGATATTCAACTTCAGAAGGGTATTCTTTTTGACAAAATACTGTATTCTCAAGGAAATAGAATCAAAGTAATGAAAAAAGAGCTCCATGCATCTCTGGAGGAGGGGGGAGAGGGGACTCCCATACATAAAGGTGGGGATGCTTGTGGGAAATTTTGAGAATGACCCCTGAAAGCCCGGGGGGGTACTCCCCTATATTCGTTATACGGGTACGTGCCGCCAAACAGGGTATGGTTTTCAGCGATTCTACTCTGGGACAGGATATATGAAATCACGCTCTCTCCTCTCTGGAACAGGGTATCCATTTTCGCACTACCGGAACAGGTTATGATTTTCAGCGATCTTGCTCTGGAACAGGGTATGAATTTCAGCGATTTTACTCTGGAACGGGGTCAGGGTTCAGTGGGCTCAGCGGCACATCCCGACCCTAAACGGTAAATGTAAATGTACCAAACGCTCATTATTTTTATTTTATCTATAAGTACGAAAGGATAGAAAAGTCAGATGATGAACCGAAAATAAATTATATGCTGGTGGCATTACTATTGTAATTCCAGCTTACATTGCTGAGCTAATCTTGGGTATCTCAGTATTACCTGTAAAACACCCTAAGAGGTACCAGCTTACTCTCTGATGGTCCTCTTAGATTTGCGACATCCTAAGAGGTACCAAATCTCACATCTATATTTGAACCCTATAAAGGGTACCATGAGCATTTGTGTTTTTTCACTATCGAAAACCCTATCCCTCCCCCCCCCCCCCCCCCCCCCCCCCCCCCCCCCTCCCTGGCATGCATTAAATTAAACACAACATCAGTATGTACATAATATCAATTATATGTGCACCAATTCCCTAAAACTTTCACAGTTTTATAGCAATATTTATTGGCTGACGAGGGAATGGAGAGTTTGTACTTCTAGCATTGACATTTTTAATATTAATCCAATACCAAAAAATATCAAGACTTGAAAGAGCATGTTATTTGTTATTATAAGTTAAGAGTTTGAAGAATATTGCTGCTATAATCTAGCACCTGAGTTAGTGACCGTAGCAGATTAATCAGATACATTTACATTAAATTGTACACAAGAACATTACGTGCTTGGGCTGCCTCTGATACAAACATGTATGGGTTCTCATATTTTTATTAATATTCTTTCAGGAATATTCAAGAGAACACTCGATGGTAATTATATGATAACAATTAATTAATTAGTTTGTGACGTATACCTCTTTGTATATGTTGTTGTCTAATATTATTACTTTATTAAAAATATTGATAAATGAGTTCTATAACGTAGGCGACAAAACGCAATCTAAGGCGATCTAATTTAAAAAATGATAGAATCTATTTTAGGTGATCTTAGATTATCTAATGCGGGGTAATGACCCAGAGTAGGTCTAGAATATCAAAAGCTGGCCATTAAAAGCTCTATTTGACAGACTACATGAGTCCCAGGCTCAAGATTAAAACATTCTTACCGTGAATACAATGTCTGTACATCATGCAGGTACAATGATGCATTTGAAGACTGTGTTATCATCAAGACGAGTTCGAATAACCATAGCAGGAGCAATCTTAACGCGTATATATTGGGAGAATCCTGAAGAAATGTTAAAACTTCTACCATTTCTGGAGTTTGGGGCTCGAGTAGTTGACATCTATGAAGGCTCAGTTGTTTTCGTCTTGAAAGTCTCGAGCATTTCATCACTAAAACGGCTATGGCAGAGCTACAAGGATGGCTCATTGAAAGCAAAACTGAAAAAATCCCTCAGTGAGATGGAAGAGTTGAAGGAACTGAGCCAAGAAGGAGAGATTGACGTGGAGGTTACAATAGACGAGGAAGAATACCGTGAAGTTCTTTGGAATCTTATCCTCTTGGATGTAAAAGGTAAGAATATATTTCTTAAATTTAAATATGGTTTTGGTTGGTTTGTTGGTTGGTTGTGATGATTGTTATAGTTCAAACACTGAGGGTTGACCCTGTTAGAGTTACAGTCAAAACGGTTCAAGCTTACCCTCCTAGATCCCATAAATGGTTTCAATATTCGAATATTGAAATTTATCATTCTTTCCGAGAATATGAATGATTCGAAATAATAATCGATTCAAAACTAGAATTCTGGTTGGACTATTCCACGTAACCGGAAAGAAAGATAGATATCCGAAATTATCAATGTCTTGCCAAGTGTTATTGGCCTCGACATTGATAATTCCGATTATCATCAAAACCTCATCCAATTATTGATTATTGTGACTCGTATTAAGGGTACCGTATTAAGACCTCACCATAGACCTTTTTGAGATAGTAAACATGATGCATTCTGGTCTAGCTTGGGCACAAACATCTTTTTTCATCATGCCTTATATGGTGTTGATCATAGCTAGACCGGGGATATGGAACAAGGTGCATTGTGGTCTAGCTTGGGCACAAACATATTTTTTCATCATGTCTTATATGGTGTTGATCAAAGCTAGACCTGGAATAGGGAACAAGGTGCATTCTGGTCTAGCTTAGGTACAAACATATTTTGTTCATCATGCCTTATAAAGAATCTAGACCACAATGCAATATTTTTATGGAACGAGAGTCTAAGGCAGTCTAAGGCGAAGTTAGGCGATCTAACGCTGAGTAAGGACCCAGAGTAGGCCTGATGATACATATTATATACAGGTAGCTCCTTAGCTTCAGCGATTCGGCCAACGGCCATAGTCCCTGTAATTTTGAATTTTTCACCWATTGATTTCGGAGATTCCTACCCATACTCCCTGTATAAGACCYTTTGCCAAAATGGCGACCKCAAATTTGAACGAGTTAAAAGTAAACGAGCAAACTATTGATTTTCTATTACTTTTCTTTTGTTTTTGTATAAATATGTACATGCATTACATGTATTACAGGTAAATCAATGAAGAATAAGAAAAGTCAGCGAAGGCACTCAGTATGCTGTGAACGAGATGTGAAACCAGTAGTTGTAAAAGGTAATGTAGAATATATTCCGGTTTTTTTTTGCTTTATTGCGGGTTGGCTATTAATGTCGATTCTTAAACAAAGTGTTTACATTATAATATCGTTTTAGGTTTTTTTACTTTTAAAGTGCCACTGTGATCAAATTTCTGGCTTGCTGGGGTTTTTTTGCCTGGATTGAAGATCTTTGATCTACTTTTTCAAATATCTTTTTTCCTTCAAAAGATATTGGAGTTTATAAAATGGCGGCCATTTTTCTTGATGACGTCATATTCTCAATACTCGGCCAGCATGGGATTATGATAAGCAAGTTTTTTTAACACCAGTTTTTTTCTTTTCTGATGAGTACTTTAACGTGTTTGAATAATAAAAATTGGAGACATCAAAATTTGATCATAGTAGCACTTTAAACAACCGACTGTATGAGCTAGTTTGTACATAAGTTTTAATGGTTGGAACTATAATTGCTCTTCCAATAATTCTTTTCTAATGTATTTCCAAATATGTATGTCAGGTAAACCAATGAAGGATGCTAGAATAAAGCGCAGGCACTCAGTATGCTGTGAACGAGATATTCCTGAAGACATAGATGTGAAAGGTAGAATATATTTCTCACAACGTATCGTTTTGTTAATTTTTTAGTTGGTTCATGGCGTTGGTTGTTGATCGTTGATTGCGGTACCGACACATTTCCTTTCAAATAGCAAATTAGAATTTCGTGGTGTCAATGTGTTTTCTTATTTTAAATAAGGATTCTAAAATCAAGAATGCTAAATTTCTAATTTCTTTTTTAATATTTATAAAGCGATATACTAAAACCACAAAAATGGCCAATTTTCCTTATCCAATAAGCCTTTTGCAACAACAGGTCACGTGACCCTACCCCCTTCAAAAGAGAATTTATGTGTCAAATTGAACATCAGAAATAAAAAGATTACCTTGATATTATTCAGAAGTCAAAGTTTCAGCTCATAATGTTGACCATAGGAGAAATGACATTAAATACAAAATCGAATATTTTATAAGTAAGTGTATGGGAAATGTACTGGATGGCGAGCTTTGCTATCCAGCCCATTTTTTCAATACAAATCCTTCTAAAATATTCGAGTTCGTATTTAATGCCATTTTTTCCTGTGTTACATGTTATAAGCTGAAACTTTGCTCTCTCACTAATATCGAGGTACTCTTTCCATTTCTGATGTTCATCTTGACACACAAACTTATCTTTAAATAAGAAACTGTAGAACCTATTCTGCCTGATTTCTCACTAGTACGGACCAAATATATAAGAACCATTGCAGCCTGACTTGGGAAAATAGTGGTTCTTTTATGCGAGTCTTTACTGTATTTAGATAAACAAGGCAATGACACGATGTTGTTGAAATATTACTTATATTTGGACTTCGGTCGTTTACAAAGTCATGGTCCGAGTGAAAATGGATTAACGACAAAAGCAAAAACGACTGACAATAAATAATGGAGATAATCGAGATGCAAGATAACCGATGCAAGAATTTAGAAAATCTGTTGTTCTCCGAACGCTCTCGGCCCCATGTTTCAAAGTTGGTGATAACTTGTTTATCCATTATATAGACCAAGTTWATATGGAAAGTACGTTTAATAAGCGAGTGTGCATACTGCTTTTCTCTCAAAAACCTTCGGTTGAATTCCTAAAACTTGTTTCACTATCAAGTTCGTATTCCTGTCGGCAGCCGCTTTTCGAATATTTAGAATAAAATGGCTTCTCATCAGCATGAAGAATGTAAATGTTGATAACTCAGTTTTAAAATATGTTTTACTTTATTCAACAGAAATAAACCGCATAGCAGCTCGTTGGGCAGCTTTCAAAAAAGAAAAAGAAATTGCTCGTCAGTGCAGACTGTTAATCGATGGTGGAACACGTGCCTTAAGAGATGTATTCGATTCTATCCATTCGCCAAGCTCCCTTCACAGGACACTACTCAGTACAAAAGTACGTTCTACTCTAAAGGGCCTGAGAGCAGAGAAGATTATATCCAAACAACAATGGGACAGACTCTATCCTGCTACTAAAAGTACACCTGTCACTTCAGAAAATTTTGACATCACACTGTTATTTGTTCTACTGCGTAATATATGTGGTTTAACACCCCCAGCAACAGGATGGGACAAGCCTCCTGTTGCTACAGACCTGAGTAGAGAAGCTGATTTGGCTCGAGTCAAATATTATAGAAATGAACTTTATGGCCACATCACAGAAACAGCCGTCAGTGACTGCGATTTTGAGAAATACTGGAGTGAGATCTCTGATGTGTTGGTGAGACTGGGTGGACCTCATTACAAACCAGAGATTGAGAGAATAAAGATAGAAGCAATGAACCCTGAAGATGAAAAGTATTTTATCGGAGCACTTGAAGAGTGGGAAGAAATGGAGCAGACATCCCTTCAAGAGATGGAGAGGATGAAGAGAGGGAAAAGACATTCAGCTGTAGATGCTTCACAAGCCAAAGGTGTGTACAATTGTAGCTTTCAGTATAATCATTTAGTATACATCTTAAAGTTTTTGAATTTAGATAAATCTCTTGGAATATAGTTGTTTTTCTTTCACACCACAACTTTTGTATATGTCTTCTAAAGACATCAATAATAAATTGGGTTGTAATCAAAAATGGAGAAATTGAATTATACAGTGTATATCAGTAACTCTGTATATTTAAGATATTTATATATTTTCCATCTAATTATCCCATCCGCCTTGTTATAGTCTTATTTCTAATATTTTTCCAGGAAGGTAGTGCCAGAGCCATCGTGTTTCTAAACTAAAACGCTAAAACTGTGATATTAACACGCTTGGAGCTGTAGAGCACGAAAGAAACAGGCTTAGGAACAAGAGGCATGGTTTCTCTTGCTTTGAAGTGCTCAGCTCTCAGCAGAGTGTTTATATCACAGTACAGAAACATAAACAGCGGTTTTATATTGCTTTTATGAAATATTTTTCAACGATTTTGCGCAAACGTTTAACTGTCCTCAGATATAAACACGCTAGCCAGCCAAACAGATTATATTATTCTTATTCTGTTTCTGTCTTTTGATTGTAAATTCGAAAGAAAGATCGCTGGTGTCATCCATAAGAACCTTAGCAACCATGGAACCTCAAAACCGGACTGTGGTTTTTCTCTATAACCACCTTAGGTTTGAAACTATTCATCACCTTCAAGCTTATCATATCACAAGCAAAAGATTAATGGCGGTCCCGTCCCTAATCAACTAGAGACGTTAAAAGAGAACCACGAGTTTACCAGTTAAATTACTGTCAAGTGTCGTCCGCTATAAACAAAGTTTATTTATCACTCAACCAACAATTTTATTACACAAAGCTAGATAAATACACAAGAGTAGTGCAATGAATATTCTGGTTGAGTGATAACAACTATTAGTCACTAAATAGTGCTATTTGTCAGTATCAACTTTGTTTTTATTTCCATGGTTTTACTGCATGTGCTCTATAAGCTTTATAGATTTTTTATGCTCCAGTACCCCGAATGTTGCGATTCTTTATTTATCTATTCGTTACCTCTTCCCTTACTCAATGAAAAACTATGAGGAGAACGACAGTGCAAAAGAGATATAGTAATGTAGGGAAAATATTTTAGCGAGGGAAATACCTTTGAATCGATGTACCGATCAAGCAACTGTACATTTTTCATTTTAGGTGACCCACTACAACACACCCCACCAACCAGCTCTTCAGAAGAAGAACGAACACCAGACCAACCACCATCCCGCCATCCAGAAGCCCAATCCGTACCTACAGAAACAGAACGAGCTAAAGACCAACCACCATCCCGCCATCCAGAAGCACAATCCGTACCTACAGAAACAGATCAAGCTAAAGACCAACCACCATCCCGCCATCCAGAAGCACAATCCGTACCTACCGAAACAGATCGAGCTAAAGAACAACCACCATCACGCCATCCAGAAGCACAATCCGTACCTACAGAAACAGATCGAGCTAAAGACCAACCACCATCCC